GGACAGGCTATAGACACCAGAACCACTACATTAAGCTGCAGTTGTTCTGGTGACTATAAGAAGACCCCTATTATATTTGGTAGAGTTGTCTCTCTAAACTACTGTAATGCAATAGTTAAGAATGTATTTGTTGGGGTAAAAAGTCCTCCTTTAACTGTATACATGCTGGATGCATACCAAGGGAACAATAAAAGACGTATAGCACCCTCCTATCAGAGTTCTGTGTCACTTTATGGTGGAATTGAAAAATACATGGCTCCCTGAAGTCTTTGTTAATGCCACTCCCTTATCGCTGTTGTTACAACAGACATGTCCATATGATGTCAATAATTTCGCCCTAATACAGATGTTTTTCTGAACCTAATATGAACTTGAATCCTTTATATTGTCCTCAGAGATGTCCAGTCCAAGCAAAATTTTCTTAAATCACGTCACTTTTGTCCTAGAGGTGAATATGTCGTTAATCCCTATGCCAGCCTCAGTCCTGCCAAGTTTTAAAATGATATTTGCTCTGTGGCATAATCTGCTATTGCGTTCTATTCTTCCCAGCTGTTACTGAATCTCTGAGGATTGTTTACTAAATAGCAAGCTGTGATTTACTGATGTTAACAAGCTACAAACGTGTACAAAACAGCTGAGTGGCAGATTGGTTTCATCTTGGCCCAAATTTAGCAACTCAGTTCTCATTTCATCACAACATATTGTTTAGTGCCCCTTTATAATATCTATGCCAGAGGTGCTCAAAAGGTAGATCCCCAGATGTTTGAAAACTACAGCTTCCATGATGCTTTGTAACTCTAAAAGCATTCTAAAGGCATGCAAAGCATCATGGGAGTTGTAGTTCTACAACATCTTAGGAACTATCTTTTGGGCTCCCTGGTCTATGCTATTCATGAGCCAACAATGGTTTCACTCCTGACCATCCTGGTCTGCATTATGTATGAAAGCCATGTTTGTATAATAACCATTTTGGCAGTGACATTTCATCATTTTAAAGCTTAACTTTCAATTGTGTAATTTTGAATTGCCATTGTAATGGATACTCTTTCTCTTTTACTTATTAAACCATCAAATAGCGTACGTATAAGGCAGTGGATCTTAATCCATGTCTCAGGAACCGAAATCAGGTCTCCATGCTGTTTAGTGGCACAGAATAGTTGACCACAATACACTGAAAATAGTAGAAACATTGCCTTCCCAAGTGCTATGGAGATGCATACGACAAATGGTGTTGTTTTTTTCAGAATTTAGATTAATTAATAATAACTGAAAAATGGATCATAAAGCCAATGACTATTCCAAAATTTGGAACTATTAGGATTGTCTGCTATTTCTAAACTTATCTCATACAACTCAGTTATTTCTCATTCATGCTTCTAAGTAATTACTCTGCTATTCCTGCAGTCTCCACTCACCCCAGCTGCACCATTCAGCTTAAATCCAGCTCTGCGGTCTCTCTCCTATTTCTAGCGACCACACGTTAAAGATTTAACAGTCTGTCACTTGCCCATAATTCTTTACCACAACCTCTGCTATTTCTGTACTGACCATACACTTAAATAAAAATACTGCTCTTTTTTGTTTTGCACTAGTATTAAGATATCCAAGCATAGCTCCTTCTAACATTACAAATTCACATCTTATTATTTCAGTTAAAGTAACATGGCAGTGTCCCCCTCATTATGAAACCTGTCCTGTATACACTACATTTTTATATTCAATCTAGCTCAGTGTCAACACCTAGCCCACCCTAAAGTCTTAGCCATCAGCTATTCCTGCTCTGACCACACACATATATAAGGTAAAGTCTGTATTTGTAATAGGGTCTAGAAAGGCAACCTCTCAGGAGAGTTCTATGCTAACATTTCACCTTCATGCTTTCTTGACATGAATGTTTGTGCGAGGGAGTGGACCTATTCTCATCTTTTTCTCCAGGGAGGATAAAATTGTATGTGTCCTGCTTCATACGCTGTATAATTACAGAGGTTTATATATTTGACTCGGGTCAGCTGCTGTGCGTACTGACTGACAGTTAAAAGTGGCCAGTTTACAGGTGTATTCACGTGCACTGCAGGTGTTAGGATCAAAACAATATACATAATACAGATTTAAGTAATAATAAACACACCGGGACAGATATGTGGAAGAAAAAGGACGTGCTCTTTTATATGCTTTATAAACACATTGTAACAATAACTTAACTCACTTTCAAAACTAAATAAAGATACTAATAAGGTTAAGGAATCTGCCTAACAAAGGTAGAAACCCTCGTTACTGAAATTACCTGCTAAGTAGAGTTATTCAACGATAATGGCAAAGCAACAACAAAAAAATATTAATAAACTTTATTTAAACAAGATCCTAAAGTTAAAAAAATATATATATATTGGAAGGCATGGCCTGAAGTTGTGGGAGGGGCTATAGACCTATAAAAGGGACTCCCCCCTTTCCCTACTTACCTTTGTTGGTCAGACGAATAGACTGTTCAAGGTCAGCATTTGCATGAGATCCACTTCCAGGTTATACAAGACGCCATTTTGGTTTCACCTTTGCTCCATGAGGTCTCCTACTCCAAGCTGTGTCCAGGAATCCTGCAGCAGGGCTTTCCGTTAATCCAGTGGCTTTCTCTCCGGTCAGCATCGCATTTGGTGTCTCAGGGACTCTCAAACCGTAAGTTGACCCACCTGTCGCGCCAGGATTAGTTCCCACGGCGTTCAACACAGCACGGGTCCTCACTTTACAGTTTCCTTTCGTTTTGCATGGTTATTTCGTTACCTTATACTCACCTAGCTGTTTATGTAAAATCTGTTGGTTAAAATCTGTTTTGGTTAAAAATCTGTTGGGTTAAAACTACAAACGACATACAATTTTTCGCCTACACACTGACCTCTATCAGTCATTCGATGTACTACAGGCTTATCAGATATTATTGCATTTCATGTACAAACCACTGCATTTGGGCATACACATTGACCCCTATCGGTCATCAGTGTACTTCAGGTTTCTTAGACTTTTTTGCCTTTCATGTACAAACCACTGCATTTTCACTGCATTTTCACCAAGACACTGACCCCTATCGGTCATTCTGTGTACTACAGGCATCTCAGACATTATTGCATTTCATGTACGAACCACTGCATTTGGGCCTACACACTGACCCCTATCGGTCATCGGTGTACTACAGGTTTCTTAGACGTTTTTGCATTTCATGTACAAACCACTGCATTTTCACTGCATTTTCACCTAGACACTGACCCCTACCATTCATTTGGTGTAACTACAGGCATCTCAGACACTATTGCATTTCATGTACAAACCAACGAACCACTGCATTTGCGCCTACACACTGACCCCTACCGGTCATTCGGTGTACTACAGGCTTCTTAGAGATTATTGCATTTCATGTACAAACCAACGAACCACTGCATTTTCATCTAGACACTGACCCCTACCGGTCATTCGGTGTACTACAGGCATCTCAGACATTATTGCATTTCATCTACAAACCAACGAACCACTGCATTTGCGCCTACACACTGACCCCTATCGGTCATTCGGTGTACTACAGGCTTCTTAGACGTTTTGCATTTCATGTACAAACCAATAAAATACTGCATTTTCACCTACATGCTGACCTCTACCGGTCATTCAGTGTACTACAGGCTTCTCAGATATTATTGCATTTCATGTACAAACCAACAAACCACTGCATTTTCACCTAGACACTGACCCCTATCGGTCATTCGGTGTACTATAGGCTTCTTAGAAGTTTTTGCATTTCATGTACAAACCACTGCATTTTCACCAAGACACTGACCCCTACCAGTCATTTGTTGTAACTACAGGCATCTCAGACATTATTGCATTCCCTTTTCTTCTCATTATTGCATTTCATGTACAAACCAACGAACCACTGCATTTGCGCCTACACACTGACCCCTACCGGTCATTCGGTGTACTACAGGCTTCTCAGACATTATTGCATTTCATGTACAAACCAACGAACCACGGCATTTT